TTTTTTTTTTTTTTTTAATTGTCTTCAAGAAACTTCTTTCTTTCTTTCTTTCTTTCCTTCTTTCTCAGCTCTAGATTCTTAAACTCCTGGTAGACACATCAACTATATTTACTCATGTAATTTTTACAGCAATCTTTTGAAGTAAGTGATATTATCCACGTTTTGTAGGGGAGGAAATCAATGCAAAGAGGGGTTAAATACTACAACTGTGACTTTCTCCCGAAAAGAAAGAGCCATTTCCAACCCAGATTTATCTGATGCCAAATGAATGAAAAATTAATTTTCCAGAGAAATTTCTTGTGCTTGGTTACTTGAAAGATCACTTTATATTTGTCTGAAATGAATGTTAGTCCTTGAGTAGCCATCACTTTCTTCTTTTTTTTTTTCTAGAAAGATCCCTTTGCTTAAATAAAAATAGTGAAAGGATAAAGCTAATGCCAATACTCAAAAGTTACCATGATTAATCTTAGAGCCAATCTGTGAGGTAGGTACTGTTATATCTCCATTTTATAGGTGAGGAAACAAGTCAGAAATGGATTAAGTAACTTGCGCTGGGTAACAAATTCCAAGAAACAATGAAAGTATTATATTTCATTCTTTCTAAACAAGCTCTGAGTGAATACAATTGACTTTTATTTTCTAAGATTTATGTTTATTTTTAAGGTTTTTTTTTTTTTTTTAAAGACTGCTGTTAGCTTGCAAGCAATTGATTTCTTCTTTTTTTAAATGTTTATTTATTTATGTTGAGAGAAAGAGTGCTTGCACGTGCATGGGAGGGGGGGAGAGAGAGAGAGAGAGAAAATCGCAAGCAGATTCTGTGCTGTCAGTTCAGAGCCTGACGCAGGGGCTCGATCTCACAAACCATGAGATTGTGACCTGAGCCAAAATCAAGAGTCAGACACTCGACTAACAGAGCCACCCAGGTGCTCAAGGCAACTGGTTTCAAAACCAGAACGCAGCTTTCTCATTTGAAGATAAAGTCAAGACACACTCCTTAGGTTAAGTGCTGAAGAATTTGTACTTCTGAACAGTAACTAAACAATTGGGAGACTTGGAAACACATTGCTTGGCTGCAGTCAAACTAGAATGTTATTTGGTTAAAAATGTTACTGATTTTGTAGTAACTTTGTATGGTGACAGATGGTAACTACATTTATGGTGGTTAGCATTTCAAAACAACAATTTTTTTTTTTTACTGATTTTGTAAGAGACAAACTTAGAGGAAAATGTGGAGACTTCTGTCCCTAAGTGTTTTGGTAATAATCAAGAAAAAATTAGAAACAGTAAGTAATGACTTCATTTCTGGATTTTCTCACAATTTTTTTTTTTTTTTGAAACTAACTTGTTAGAAATTTCCACTCATTTTTTGGAGAAAAGAACAGGTGATTACCTAGAAGACTAACCACCAGTGGAACCATGCTTAACACTGGACTCACTGTGTAAGTATGTGGCAGAACCATGCATGGAGGAGGAGAATAGCGGAATGGAACAAAGGTTGTCCTGGGAAATAATTATTTTCCAAAGAAGAGGTGAGTAATTAAGTACATGAATGAATTGAAATAGTTCTAAATTTTTGTTTTATTTTTGAATTATTTATTTATTTATTTTGAGAGAGAGAGAGAGACAGAGAGAGAGAGAAGGAGATAGTGAGCAGGGCATGGGCAGAGAGACAGGGAGAGAGAATCCCAAGCAGGCTCCACACTGTCAGCACGAAGCCTGATGCAGGGCTCGACCTCACAAATCGTGAGATTATGACCTGAGCGGAAATCAAAAGTCAGACGTTTAACCGACTGAACCTCCCCCAGGGGCCCGTAAAGATTTAAATACATAGGAATGAGTTCATTCAGGAAAGAGGAAAGTAAATTAAAAATTTATAAGAGTTGCTGGGCCTAATAATTAAACTGACATAAGAGTGATTAACAGGAGAAAAGCATTCAAATTTTGTTCAGTATTTCTTACATGTACGTGGGGCGCTTCACAAGAAAAATCAAGACCTAAACGAGTCAGGACTGAAAGCTTATATAATAGGTTGCACAAAGAGTAGTACATTTTGAAAAATGTAACAAGACAAAAGGGTCTGGGCTGGCACAGTTAATTGCGGGAAAGTAGGAAGATAAGAGTTGAGTTTAACAAGGTTTGTTTGTACATGTTTATCTTGGCTTCAAGTCCCCCTGTCTCTGGTGATAGTCCTGGTTACCTTTCACATGAGAGTTTTATTTCCTGCTTTCAGGAAGAAAGAGGAAAAGGAAGGTCAGAAGGTCCTTCTTGCATATGCTTTTTTAAAAAGTGCCTTTAAGTGCCAAAGTGGCATATTTGGGGGTGGCATGCTCTGAACCCCTATTCTACTTAGAAGAGGGACATCCTATGAAATTGGTTTGGGGTGCATATTTGGCTTTCTTTGGTTGGTTGATCCTAAATTGGAATCAGGGGAAAATATTAGAAAAGCTGTCAACTGTTAATCAAGTTCTGGGACAATTATTATGAGGTTTTTGTTTGGCTTCCTGGATTGTTGCTAGAGATAGCCATATGACATCCTACAAGTCTGACTTCTAGGCTGCTTTCCCTGGCGGGTTACTGTAGAATAATAGGTTGGTTTCCTGGGATGGTTGCTGCAGATTGTAGGTCAGAGTCCTCTATTTTTATATATATGTGGTCTGGCCGTTGCCCATTTGTATATTCAATCTCAGCAGGTAGAGGAGTTTTTTCAATACCTTATTACTAGAAGAAGTAGGTCATGTTGGAAAAATTGGAAGGAGGTCAGTATGGCTGATGCATAGAAAGTAGGGAGTGAATGGACCTGGACAGGGTTGTGAGAAATGTAGCTGTTTATAGTTATGCATGGGGCACCTTCTTGCTGTGTGCTGGGGGCTATCAATGCCCTCCAACCAAAGGCTACCGGAACACTCCTGTAGTCACATGATTATGTGACCAGGGTATGTCTCAGTAAAAGGATGCTAATACTAACTTATTTATCGTAGGATTGGGGCCTTGGTGATTTGGGGATGGTGGAGGAATTGAGGATAGTTTTGAGTCTGACTGCTGCTTAAAAACGTATGGGTGAATTTTCGTGCCTGACCGTAAGCAGTTAAAAAGGCTTTACCTGGTAGGCTTCACAGGGCAAAACTGCCCTCCTGCACCAGCTTGGTGCACAGCCAGTGCACTGCAGTCTCTGAAGGGAGTTGCAGTCAAAGACTCAGTCCCACCTGGCTGGCCTTGCTGTTGTGCATAGTTGCATTCCTAGCCAGGTGTTCCCATTTGGAGGTCTCCTTATCAGGAAACTTACCCACTCTGTCACTATGCAGTACGTTTCCATTCCTGTCACCCTCTCCCCTTCCCCCCTCCCCAGACAATGGCCCTGGTTCCATAAATCTGCAGAAAGCTTTTGTTGGGGACTCCCTCAATAGTGAGATAACCTCCAGGTTTGCACTGATCCACCTGACCCTCAACCAGTGGGAGAGTTGGTTCCAGGGGGTAATGGGACAGACTCTTTTGCTTATACAGTCATAGTAAGTAATTAGAGGCTTCACTGTTATTTCCATTTTGGCTCATTTTTGTTTTAATTGCCTACTCTGACATCTGGCAGCTCAATTCTCTCTCCAGCTCATCTGAGCACTTGACAAATTCTGTGATTAGGTATCTTAATAATTTCTTATATAGAAGGCAGAATGAAAAAGGGAAGCTAATGCTATAATTGGTAAAGAAATAGCAGTCACTCAAAATAGCCAGTTAGGGAGGTATTTGGTCATTTTGTGGTTTGGACAATCTTCCTGATTTGTCTGAGTTCAGACACGTTTACAGAGTTGTCTTGTTTTTGTCTTGATCCTTCAGGGACACTAAGTGACCTTGTCTGATGCTGGTGTGCTGTGAATTGTTTTATATTTAACAGGAGAACAATATGGTCTTGCTGTGGGTGCCAGGACAGCTCCTAAAAACACCTAGGCCTGGTTGATAAAGCCAGGCCAGTTTCAGGCTCTTAGAAGCTGCTTTTCTGGGCGCTTGGGTGGCTCAGTCGGTTAAGCATCAGACTTTGGCTCAGGTCATGATCTCTTTGTTTGTGGGTTCAAGCCCTGCATCGGGCACGGTGCTGACAACTCAGAGCCTGGAGTCTGCTTCAGATTCTGTGTCTCCTGCTCTCTCTGCCCCTCCTCCACTCATGGTCTGTCTCTGTCTCTCTCAAAAATACATAAACATTTTTTAAAAATTAAAAAAAAAAAAAAAAAGAAGTTCCTTTTCTTTCTCAGGACTAAAAGTTCTATATAGATTATCTCATTTAATCCTTACAATATGTTGTTATCCTAAGTGGCAGGTTACTGTATTTATCTTCGCTTTCAGATGAAGACACTATGGAAACT